AGGCCTCAAGATCATGGCCTGTGCCTGTCACAGGCAGGCAGGCCTAGTGGCCTGGTTGATGCTCTGTTAGGTATAAATTCGCTTTTTTATTTCAACTAGTTTTTCTTCTATGGAATGAAAAATGCCGCTTCGCTCGGCACTACGTCGCTTCGCTCGCCACTACGCCGTTTCGCTCAGCACTAAAAAATCTAGTAACCAATTTTCAAAAAATTTCCGTTTTTTTTTCAGGGTTAAATGAATTTGTATAAAATTGGTCCGAAAGTCCGGCTCGAAAATTCCGTGGGCCGAAATTCCGGTCTCCCTAAAAAATCATCGAAGTTATTTTTAATTTATTTAAAAATAGATAATTCACTAAATCGAATATTTTTCATTAAATAAACATGAATTAAAAGAAAAAATTGATATTGTTCGTAAATTATGAGAAAAAGGATAGTCAGTTATAGTTTCTTCGTCTTGTTTTTCGAGTTTATTGTTAATCAATGCTATGTGGATTGAAATTTTAAATTGTAAACTTAGTTTTATGCAAAAGCCAAATCAAAATGAAAAAGAAAATAATTCAAACACAGTATCGAGACGTCAATTCGTTTGTCTAGAAACTAAATTAGCATACAACTTATTATGAATTGAACACACATTTTAGATAGATCGTTGACGATATAGCTTAAGCTCATTTAAAATACAAGATGAAATTTAAACACATCGACAAAAAGATTATGATTGATAAATTTATTATAATCCCTAATTCATGAATACATGTAACAATTGAAATATTACATTTTTTTATGCGCCGCGTTAGCTACAAAACGAATTTTCACGAATAAAATATTTTCCGCCGGATAACTAAATAATTATTTGAGCTCAATCATTTACTATTTGTCCACCGAATTACTTGTATCTTCATTTTTTTCTCCTAATTTATGAGCAATATCAATTTTTTATTTTAATTTATATTTATTTAATGAAAAATACGTTTAATGAAAAAGTGAATAGAAAAATATATTTGATTTAGTGAATTGTCGACACGACATATATATATATATACGTATGTTCGTTACGTCACCGTGTACACTCTTTATCACGTTCTCTAACCATTGTTTCTTTTTGTATTCATTTTTCTCATCATCCTACTCGAGGTATTACTACTAATAAAACATAGTTAGGTAGAAACAAATAAATAAAAATCTACAGGTTGTAATTTATAAGTCAACTTTGTTCCACTTCGATCGTTCGTAGTAACTTAGGACAGAAAAATCTGCGTTCATGTTAACAATTATTGCATATGTTTAAATAGTAATCGTAAACAATAAATGTAATATCAACTGATGAAACAGTTTTTTGGATTTTCTAAGTTGGGGAGGCTTTGATCTTCGAATAGATATGAATGTAGCTTCAATAATACAAAGATAATAGAATAATATTGGATTTCATTATCTTAGATACCTCATGATCCACATTCATACTCATCATAATCGTATGAATTTCTTTGACAACATTGAAATAATTATTTATCTTCTTGTTTTCAGATAGCTATATGTCTTTCGTTATCGATGATAATATTGTTCATAATTAAAATTGTTTAAATTTTGATTTATTTGGCATTTAAATAATGTTTGTCGCAGAAGTCGAAACTACGATTGCCGATGCTGTTTGCGAACAAAGATTAAATCTGCAAGAAACTAAACAGCTGATTTTCAAGGATTTAATTGTTGGAGAACAACCTAATGTAGCCGACGTCAAACTAGTTGAAACTTATTATATCAAAGTTCTTCTTGAATGCGCACGTATGGAAGTGGAACAGTGTTTCGATGCTTGTTGCAAGAATAAAGATTTCGTAAAAACATTTGCTCAGCGTTTGGATAAAATTATGACGATCAGCGACATAAAAGTCATGTGGGCATCAGAATATTACGTCACACAACTCGATTTATATTCGAATTTGATCGATGAATATGATTTAGCAAGCTTTATTACGAATCTGAAGGCTGATTTATGGAGATTTTTTTTTTTTTTTTTTGGTAACATCGCTTTTATTGATGGAAAATTGACAATACTTGTACATAACAGAAAAAGCAAAACATAAACAAAACAACGTACATTATTGTCAAAAAAGCTGAAAGAGAGAAAGAAAAAGAAGCAAAGTGAGACACATGACATTAGTCTTTTATCTCGGAGTTTGGTTTGGTCGTTTAATCTTGTTTTGTAAGATGTGGTGATACTGTGGTATTGTATTGGTGGGTATCACATTGAATGGCCTT